CCTTACACAAAGATCCCTTCCCAAGAAATCCAAGTAAGGACCCCTTTATTATGGATTCATTACCAAAGATGATTCATTACCAATCACTCCTAAGAACGCATTCCCCAATAAGAAATCCTTGCTGGGCACTCCAACCTGGGATTCCTCACCAAATGGAGCCTTAGCTTGTACTTTTAACTCCTGAGTGTGTACTTTAACTCCAGAGCTTTAACTCCAAGGATGAGGGGCGATGGGGCCTGACACAACGCCTCACCCCCACTGTATGGGCGCTGCGCTACCTACTACGGTGCTGGACGCACTGCGGCAGTGCCGCGGACGCACAAGGGGAAGAGGGGGAGGAACGTTACATTATGGGCCGGCAGGGGGGGAGAGAGGGCAGGCAAAGGTTGACAAAAACACTTTCCCTGAGAAGAGCACGTGAAGAGTCTGAAACTTGTGATTTGCTGCTGGGACTTTGTTATTCACTTGAATCCGTGCGTGGGCGTGGGTGTGGTTGTGCCCCCCCTCCAACACTGTGGACCGACAGGGGCCTAGGGTCCCCCCTTCGGAGGAAAACAAAGGGGGACGTAACTCCTAGGGAAAGGGGCGCAGGGATGTCGCAATGTTGCTGTTGAATTCCCATATCTTCAAAATAATTGTCGTCGATCCCCCCGCTGCCTGGTGCCCACTGCGTTGTTCAATGAGAGGTTTCCTTCCGTGGCTCGTACCCTGTTTTCCAAAATAAGAAAATGGCGCGCCTCGGAAGGCGTTGTTGGCTCCCGAACTACTACAACAACGGCTTCCGCCTGATTTCCTGTCACGAATCATTCAAAATCACGCTCTCGCGCGGGACTTTCTCAAAATGCATCAAGGAATCGTGCTCTCCCGTGGTACTTTTTCGCAATTCATGTAAACGCCGCGCCCTCGACACTCAGGAATCAAGCTCTCGCTCTGGGCTTCCTCACGATGTACTTGGACATTGCGGTATCGCTCGGAACTTTCTCGCGATTCATGCTTGGTAGAAGCTTCAGGAACCCGCCCGTTCGGCCTGGCCGTTTGGGCCCACCCGCTCGACCCGCCCGTTAGGGTCCGCTGGCCCGAGACGCCGGTCTGGTTCTGCCGCATGTGCTCATGCTCCGAATCTCCTCCTGCAAATCTCTTTCGTTTTCCATCCTTCCCCCTCCCACTTGTCTCTTCCCTCCCCCCTCCCTTCCCCCGTTTTAAGGGCTGCGTCAACTATGCGTGGCAGAAAAGGAAGATAGACCCCCAAGGGAGGCACGATAGAAGACACAGAGGGCGGATATTGCGGGTTCGGGGTATACATGCTGAGTGAGACGCAAGCATATGAAAGCGAACAATCTAAAACAATGTGTTGCTGCTGTTGTTGTCGTCGACTTGCCCGCGACCCACCCCGCGACCCTACCTGCGACCCACCGCGCGACCCACCCACGACCACCCCGCGATCCCCCCGTGACCCGCCCAAGTTGCTTCGACGGATAAGATGAGACGTCGACCCGTTCGGCCCATGTGAGGAGACGGCGCCAGCCAGGACCACGAATACGCCGACTGAATGCTCCAAGACAACGCCGAAGATCGAACCTCCGACCTCCCCTGCGTGCTGGTCATGATTCCAGGGCGGCCCCGGAGGGGGGGCCCGACGGCCCAGATGACGGGGCGGCGGCTTGTACGACAGTGACGGTGATGGCGACGACGGCAAGAGCCACGGCGAGGACATCGACGGCGACGGCAGCGGTGCCAGCGACGGCAGCGGTGACGGCGACGACGTCGGCGATGGCGCACGGCATCGGACGGCGGCAAACGACAGCACGTGACAGCGAGCGTTGACGGCAGAAGCGACGGCGACGCCGACGACGACGGCGAATGATGACGACGACGGCGGCAAACGACGACGACCACGGGACAACGACGGCGAAAGATGGCGACGTCGGCAGACGACGACGACCACAGCGACGAACGACGACGAACAGCGAATGCGACGACGACGGCAGCTGCGGTGGTGGCGAGGACGACGGCGAACGACGACTACGCCCCGCAGTCCTCGGCGGCCCCCACGACTCGGAGAGAACCCTCATGGGGACCATCCGCTCCTCTCGAGGGTTGAGACAGCGAAAGCTGACGGCGCGCAGCAAGGGGTATGGGGTATGGGGTATGGGGGGAAGGCTTCTTAGAAGGAGGCCGCTTCTTAGAAGACGCCAGCCCTACACCTACTCGCACGGCCCGCGCTTTCCAGGAAGCAGGGGTGCTTCCAGGAAGCCTTCCCCTCACCCCCTACGGTCGACCCCAGGCCAAAAGAACATCCCTCCGTCGGAGAAAATAAACAGAACATTCAAAAATATGTACCTCCCCAAGATGCACAAAGACATCCGACATTCACGGCGAGCACTTGGGTACCCCCCTCCCCGAACCGACCTCGACGTGATGCCTGGCCCCCCCCCCCGCGTGGCCGAGGAGCAGGGGCAGGAGGCGAGGCGGCAAAGAGGGCCGAGGGCCGAAGGCCCCAGGCCTCTGGGCGTCTCCGCAGCCCTCTGTCCTGGGCCTCTGGAGGCCACGCGGGGACGGACTCCGCCTCCGCACGGCCCGTGCGGGAGCGGCTTGCGTCGCCCCACCGACCCCCCCGCGGTGGCCAGCTCACGGTAGCCTCGAAGCTAAGCTCGAAGCTAAGCTCACGTGCCAGCACGCGCGCCGATGCTAAGCTCGACGCCAGTCGACGCTACATCGACGCTAATCGACGCCAATCGACGCCAATCGTCGCCAGCCGACGCTAAAGCGGCGCTTCCGCATCGATTACCAACCGCTCGCGCACGCTAACGCATTTGAATGGCGGAATTGCGCGAACATGCAAGGCTCCCATGGTCTGTCACCCTGTAACGCCCCTCGCGGGGGTAGAAACCAATGTGATCAAATTACTGTTTGAAACGTTGTGATGTCCGCTGCTTTCCCTCTCGCGCCCTCCCCCATCGCCCTCCCTGCATCTTTCGTCCCCACTGCTTCTTCCCCTCGCTCTGTTACTTGTATGCATGTGTCGCTCATCCTCCTCCTTCTCGTCCTCGTAGTCTTCCGCATGCCCGTGCTCCTGCTCCTGATCCCTTGACCCTTCTCCTTGGCCTCCTCCTCCTCCTCCCTCCTCCTCCTCCTTACGCCTCCTTCCACCTCCTCCTCCTGCTCCTCCCCCTGCCGTCCTCAGCCTCCGAGCGACTCCGAATGTTGGGAAGTGCGGAGAGAAACGAAAATGTCGCATTCGGGGCCTCGGACCGTGATCGGGGCGCCCGCCCAGGAGGCCCGTCCCCGGCGTCCCCCACGGACGTTGCGATTTGGATCCCCCTCGGAAGCCAGCCTGTTCCACAGAAGGCGGTTTACAGCCGCTTTCGCTGGGTGAGATGCACTTCCCCCCTCCCTCGGTGGTGACGGACGGCAAGCGGCGGGTTGGCGTGTTGGCGGGTTGGGCTGGTTGGACTGATTGGCTGGTTTGCGGGCGGGCTGGTTGGGCTGGTTGGGCTGGCCGGTGTGCTGGCTAGGGTTTCGATCGCCCTGGGCCCCCGACCGTGCTCGGGGCGCCCGCCTGAGAGGCAGGTCCCCCGCGGTGCGATGCGATTTGGCCAATCCGGGACCGTGTTCGAGGCGCCCGCCCAGGAGGGCGGTCCACCACGGAAGGTGCCATTTGGTCCCCCCGACTGTCAGCTTGGTCCCCGGGGGGCTCACAGCCATTTTCACTTGTAAAAAACGCTTCCCCCCCTTGATGGTCACGGGGGGCAGGCGGCGGGTTTGGGCGGGTTGGGCTGGTTTGTGGGTTCGCTGGTTGGGCTGGTTGGGCTGGCTGGTGTGCTGGCCAGGGGCTGGGACAACTTGTTTCGATCGAAACTCCCCTCCCTCGACGCTCGTCCCGTCCCCCCTGTGGGGAGCAGGAAGGGGGGGGGAGGCAGCGGGGCGGGTGCGAGGGAGGGGAGATGGGGGCCGAGGCCTGCTCCTCCTCCTCCTCCTCCTGCTCCTGCTCCTCCCCCTTCTCCTTCTCAGCAAGAGCACCCCCACTCGTCTTTTCAAAACCTGGATCCCTCGAGGTCTCACGCAGTCGCTGACGTCCCAGGAATGGTGCTCTGGCGCGTGAGGACTCTCAGATGATTTCAAACGGCGCACCCCCCGCAATGCAAATAAATTATTGTGGGGAACTATGCAGGGGGAACTTGGAGGGATGGTTCATGAGCCTTGGGTTTGCACTTGTCCGCCTGCATCTGCTTCTCCTCCTCCTTCTCCTATTCCTCCTCCTCCTCCTCCTCCTCCTCCTCCCTCCTCCTCCTCCTCCCCCTCCTCCTCCTCCTCTCTCCTCCTCCTCCTCCTCCAACTCCTACTCCTACTCCTCTCCTCCTCCTCCCCCTCCTCCTCCTCCTCCTCCTCCCTCTCCTCCTCCGCCCTCTCCGCCTCCTCCTCCTCCTCCTCCTCCTCCTCCTCCTCCTCCTCCTGCTCGTCTTCTTCGTCTTCTTCGTCTTCGTGTTATTAGTATTTTTATTATTATTATTATTATTATTATTCGTATTATTCTTATTATTAGTATTATTATTATTATGATTATTATGATTATGATGATTATTATGATTATTATGATGATGATTATTATTATTAGTATTATTATTATTAGTAGTATTATTATTATTAGTATTATTATTATTCATATTATTATTAGTATTAATATTATCATTATTAGTATTATTATCATCATTATTATTATTAATATTATCATTAATATTATTACTACTATTATTATTGTTGTTATTATTACTATTATTATTATTATTCCTCCACCTCCTCCTCCTCCTCCTCCACCTCCTCCTCCTCCTCCCCTCCTCCCCCCTCCCCCTCCCCCTCCCCCTCCCCCTCCCCTCCCCTCCCCTCCCCCTCCCCTTCCCCTCCTCCTCCTCCTCCTCCTCCTCCTCCTCCTCCTCCTCCTCCCAAGCACAGCAAGGGGGGCCCTGGGCGCGGGGATCCGTTTTGGCTCAAACGCGCTCATGTCCTCCCGTCCCATCGCGTTGGCGTCGCGTGCTTGCTAAAACCTGAACTGTTTATTCACGGATGGTTGGCGAAGAATGGGGCGAACTCGCACGACGAGGCTTGGCTACGGGAAGCGGCCCAGATTGGTGGCGCGCTAAAACTGGTTTGAGAGGCCGAGCAGGCGCACGTGCATCGGCCGATCGTCTCATTCAGAAATTACGTCAAGAAATTGCTGACCTCAAGAAGCAGCTGCAAGGTGTCAAAACACCGCGACACGCTCCCTCTGTGGGCGAGGTCGCCAGCAGTATGAGATCAGAAGCTGAGGTCTTTCGACCAGGCGCTGGCTGTTGGTTTCCAATCCCCTTGGCGAGCGGACCGTTGCAGGAGATTGGTTTGAGATGCACTTGTGGAACGGTCATCTTCTCCTCGTACAACGGGCCTCTGGCAGGGGTGCCACGTGGCACCAACACTCCACGCAGAGGGCAGCTGACCGTGGTGCCGCACGTCAAGCAGGCGTCCGACTTCGTCGAGGGCCAGTGCTGGCAGCTTCCCGCGGGAGGGTTCCCACCCCCACCCTCCGCGGACGGCTCTGAGGGGGTGGCCGCGGCCGCCGCCGAGGCCGACTGCGAGCTGGAGGAGGCGAGGGCCTTCTGCTGCGAACGGGACGAGGAGGTGCAGGCCTGGGCGCAAGCCCGTTCGGAGCGCGCCGCGGGGGGGCGACAGCGACCCTTCCTGCGTCGGCGCGCACGCCTGGATCGTCAGGCGCCCGAGGCGACTTCCCCACGTTTCGCCGCAGAGGAGGCGGATGTCTTTGCGGCTGGCTGCAGCTCGGGTGCCAAGACCGAGGACTGGTACGCCAGTCCCGAGAGGGCGAGGCTCGTGCGCGACATCGGTGCCTTTCGGCGTGTCACCCGGCCTCTGTCGTCTCCGGCCCACCCGGCCTCGACGGTGTCATCCTCGGAACCGCTCGACGTGGGGGCCTTGTTCCAGGGCTTAGCGAGGGCAGCGGCTGAGATGACGACAGCGGCAGGACCACCGCCAGTTCTGCCCGACGAGTCGCCCATTGCGAGCAATTGCAAACAGAGCTGAAGTTTCCCTTTGGGGGCCTGCGGGGGTTGCTCTACGTGAGCTAACGCACCCCCCAGGCTTGGCCCTAACATGGAAGGCTGTGTTTAGTTTTGCTTCTGGTGTGCCGTTATCTTTCAGTCCCCACATGTCGGCTTTCACGCTATCTGCTGGGTCTGGTGATGCACCGTCACACAGTTTCAATCTCGGCACAATCCAGTTCAATTGTATATTGTTCTTGGGATTGCATCGGGGGCCTGTGGGTGTTGCTCTACGTGAGCTAACGCGCCCCCCAGGCTTGGCCCTAACATGAAAGGTTGTGCTCAGGGTTGCCTCTGGGGTGCCGTTGTCTTTCAGTTCCCTCATGTCGGCTCTCTCGCTATCTACTGGGTCTGGTGAGGCACCGTCACTCAGTTTCAATCTCGGCACAATCAAGTTCAATCGAACAACTGTATTCTTGGGTTGCATCGGGGGCCTGCGGGGGTTGTTCTACGTGAGCTAACGCGCCCCCCAGGCTTGGCCCGAACATGGAAAATTGTGCTCAATTTTGCTTCTGGTGTGCCGTTATCTTTCAGTTCCCGCATGTCGGCTTTCACGCTATCTGCTGGGTCTGGTGATGCACCGTCACACAGTTTCAATCTCGGCACAATCCAGTTCAATTGTATATTGTTCTTGGGATTGCATCGGGGGCCTGTGGGGGTTGCTCTACGTGAGCTAACGCGCCCCCCAGGCTTGGCCCTAACATGAAAGGCTGTGCTCAGGGTTGCCTCTGGGGTGCCGTTGTCTTTCAGTTCCCTCATGTCGGCTCTCTCGCTATCTACTGGGTCTGGTGAGGCCCCGTCACTCAGTTTCAATCTCGGCACAATCAAGTTCAATCGAACATCTGTATTCTTGGGTTGCATCGGGGGCCTGCGGGGGTTGCTCTACGTGAGCTAACGCGCCCCCCAGGCTTGGCCCTAACATGAAAGGCTGTGCTCAGGGGAGCTTCTGGCGTGCCGTTGTCTTCCAGTTCCCTCTTGTCCACAGCGTCCCGACGGTGCCAGCGAACAGAAGCATGCTTGCAAGCAGACGTGATATATTCTTTCACAATCGCGAGTTGTCAGTTTCTATGTCCAGGCATGTCGGTGCATTTGTTGCCTTTTGATGTCTCGCCTCGCGTGTGTGTGTGTGTGTGTGTGCGTGTGTGTGCGCGCGTGTGTGTGTGTGTGTGTGTGTGTGTCTCGCATGCTCACCGATAAGAGGCCTGTCTTGAGTAACCGACCTGGTCGCTACATCCAGAACTCCAGAACTCCTCCTCCTCCTCCTCCTCCTCCTCCTCCTCCTCCTCCTCCTCCTCTCTCCTCAGGAGAGGCTCCGCACGCCTTGGCCGACCCTTCGCGGTCCTCCCCCGTCGCCGCGAACCCCAGGTGGTGGTCGCTGCTCGGGTCCTTGTACGATGTCCCTCCCCAGGTCAGCCTCTCTGCAGGGCTTCGGAAGTTTGCGCGCAGGCCATTGAGCGCCTCTCCCCACCCCACCCGCTCCTCCTCCTTCCTGTCCCCGCGTCCTCATCACCATCCTTCCTCCTCCCTCCGTCCTCCCTCCGTCTCGCCCCTAATCGCCTCCGTTCTCTCTCTCACCCTACCACCCCCCCTCCCCCACCCCTCCAGCCTACCCTGCAAATCCTCTCCTCCCGCTCATCTTTTCCTTCCTTGTCCTACCCCCTCCTCCTTCTCACCTCCCATCCCCTTCCCCCCTACTCATAGCTCGTCCTGCTGCTCCTCCTCCCGCTTCGCATCTGCTCCCCCTCTTCCTCCTGCTCCCCTTTCTCGTGCTCCCCTTGCTTCTTCCCCTGATTGTCCTGCACCTCCTCCTCCTCCTCCTCCTCCTCCATCTTCCCATCCCCCCGTCCTCCCCTCATCTCGGGGGGAAAAAAAAACAGGTGCCGCTCGACCTCGGACGTCTCACCGGGCGCCTTCTGACCAGGATTCCGCTGCGAATTCAGCCGTGGCGACGAGGGCTCTCCAAGACGATCAACGGTATGGGTACCTTTTCCAAATCTGACCTCTCCCTCCCTTCCTCACTCCCCCCCGACCCCTTCCTCAAACCTCCAGCCTCTCACCTCTTCCGCGGCCCCCCGCGTCCCCGATCGGGCTCGATAGAACTTCGCTCGAACAGACTGGTCCGCGGAAGCTCTCCGCCGGAGCACGATCCCGCCCTTCTTCTTCCGGGCCTCGTCCAGCCGTGACGACAGGGCCCTCACAGGGTTGTATTAGACATGGTTGGAGAATCGCGATGTTTTGCTAGTGCATCGCCGATGTATCGGTGATGCGTGGGTGATGCATCGGCGACGTCGGCAATGCATCAGTGCCGTAGGCGTGGACAGAATTTGGGTCCACATGGAGCCGCATCGCCGATGCGGCGGCGACGCGGCGCAATCCTCCCATCCCATCGACGCCTATCTGAGAGGCCTGTATCACAATAAAGCGCGGCGAAGACGAACATTAGGTCTTCTGGGTGGTGGGCACTGTCATATGAATTAACCTCGCGTCACAAAAAACTGACGGCGGACAATGTTGGCCGTGTCCTGCCTCTGATAGCATTTTCCAGGCCTCGGGGCCGTAAACCAGCTATCCAGGATGGAAAGCCGTTCCCGGGGAATGGGTGGAGACCTCGGGGGGGGGGGGGCACGTGAACAAAAACACGACGTCGTGTGTGTGTGTGTGCGCGTGTGTGCGCGCGTGTGTGTGTGTGTGTGTGTGTGTGAATGTGTGTGTGTGTGTGTGCGTGCGTGCGTGCGTGCGTGCGTGCGTGCGTACGTGCGTGTGTGTGTGTGTGTGAATGTGTGTGTGTGTGAGTATGTGGGGGACTTTTGGCTCGAACCAAGCAGACGCCAAACAACTGGTTCTCAACGCTGAGATCCCCATAATGTGCACCAGTGTTCTGGCGCGTTGCTTTCTGAAACTGCATGAGGTCAATCCAGTCTGCGTGCGAAAACCTTGATGTGAATGGGTCTGCGGCACGGGGGCGCGTGAGCCTTCGCATGCGGGGCTGAATATACGCGAGTCGAAGCACGAATGGATTTGCATGTGAAGTGGACAGGCTATGAACAAAGATGGACATTCGTGAGGGGGTCGTGCAATTTGGGCGCCTGACATGCCTGCCACATCGCGCTGGTCGTGGGGCTCATCATGGCCGTGCCTGCTATATCGCGATGACAATTCGATCAGGAAAACACAAGAGGTTCCGACCCCAGCAACAACGATCCTGCCTGCGAGGTCCCAGCAATCTGGGTGCGTCCGGGCCCGTGGGACGCCGCTGGTCGACACTCACCTGTTTGACACCCAAGAATGCCATGCTGTTACATCGGGGTGAGCATGGGGCCCTGAAATCGGACAGATCCTCCCATCCAGAAGGGCAAGTTTGCCTGAGATACCCCACAAACTGGGCGCGAACGGGCGCGTGGAACAGCCCTGGTCGACGCCTACTTTGGAAACCCGAATGGGGCGCCTGAGAAGAAACACGTCGAAAACCCACACGGCCCGTGGGAGGCTAATTATCGCGCGCTCTACATCGCGATGGCCATGCGGCTATCAGGAGAGGCTCGCCAACCCGCTGAAAATAAGAGATATAATGAAACTTGATGGGTCCCGCCAGTGTGGGCGCGAACGGGCCCACGGAACACTGCCAGGTCGACACCTGCTTGGGAGGCCCAAGCATCATGCCTTCTACACGGCGGTAATCATGAACACGGGTGCGGCTGCGCATGCGTGAATTAGTGTATGCGAAAGCTGGGGTGGAGATGGCTCTGGATGCGAGTGGGTCTACGTATGCGTGGGCTTGACTGTGGGTGAGCCTGCGTGCGTGTCAGCCGGCGCGTTAACCCCGCTAGGTCCTTATAACCCCCCAGTTATTGGAAACAAATTGTCTGTTTGGCATCACTAGTGGCTGAGGTTCCATCAATAATGGCAACGTGTTTCTCCGCGGCAGCACCCGCCGCACAACGCCGACGACGATGACGACTACAATTATGACTACGATCATGATGCGACTACGGCTACGGCTACAACTATGGGCACTTCGCGACCACGATTTCTCTTGCGACTACGTCAATTGGTACGTCTCGGCAAATTCGTACGATGATGGGAGGAGATAGGGATAGTATGGTAAGAAAGAAGGATTCATTACTTGCGAAAAAGAGGAAGCGTGGAACATCATGCACTTGGCGAGTGAAACCGCCAAGCAATATCCAGCGCGCCGAACATTAGTGGGCGAGTCTTCCCCTGGCGCGGCAGTCGCGAACACTTGCGCGATCACCAATCGAGCGAAGAGTGTTTAGGCAATTCCTCCACTGACGGGGCGAACTCGAGACAATTCGCTTACCGCAACAATGCAAATGCATGTTGCACCACCCGTGAAAAATTGCTTACATTTCCTCCCGCGCGTGGGGTTCCCCGCGGTACATGGTTCACTGAAAGAAAGAGAGACACCCAACACAACATATATATATATATATATATATATCACCAAAATGTCCAAAGCTCCAAACATCAGGTATTGATTGAAATACGCTGAGAACCTAGACGGTGCTCGCCGATTTGGCGTCTCATATTGGCACCGCGCAGCACCTGAATGTGAGCAGTGCGGCACACGGAGGCGGCGCACACACGGACCAGCTCACCGAGGGTGGCGACCCGGACCCCGAGCTTTCCCCTGGGGCCCTCGGCTGCGCCCCCTTCCCCGAGCGGTGAGTAGGGTGGTGCGCGTTTCTGGGGGGGAGCGAGAGGGGTGAGAGGGCAGCATGGGGGCAACAACAGAGGAACTACGAGCGGGCGCAGAACGGAGAGGTCTACTCGGGGGAGTCTGAGACCAGGATCCCCGAACATCAGAATCTGCTGGTTTCTTCCTCTCGAGCCTATCTCGAGCAGGGAGCACGGGTCTGGAGCGGGTGGCGTAAGCCTCAGAAGTCGAAGTAGCTGCACTCCGTGCCGCGGGTGGTGGTGTAAAAGGGCGGCGGTCGTGCGGTGGTTGAGTCCACGCCCCATGCATGCACCAGCTTGGCAGTTCCCACAGAGAGCTAAACGAACCATTGTGTCTGAAGATGCACTCGGTGCCGTGGGAAGTGGTGTACTCGGCTGTCGGTGGAGCACTTCATGAACTGTATCCTCTAAGCTACTGCATGCACTAGCTTGATACACATTCGTCCCAGAAGTAGCTTTCAGGCGCCGCATTGAAACCCCATCAATCTCCAGCTCAGGTGCGTCGTTCGCCGTGTTGGTGGTACTCGCACGTCGTCGGTCGAGAGCGCATCCAAGTAAAGGGCCAACCCGTCCTCCACAAAGCCCGCTGGGGCTGGTCCGAGGCAAGCTGGCTTGCTCGCGCTGTGGGGCGCTGTCATGATCTTCTGGCGCACGGTGGTCTCGCGGCAGTTGAACCTGATCTTCGCCGCGCCGCTCTGGCATGCTTTCTCGACCTTGCAAATCGGGAACATGTCCTGCGCCTGGTACGCGTCGAGCTCGCTTATCTGCTGGAGCGCAGTCGCGAGCTCCTCCTTGCACTTCGCACCGGTGTCCTGCTCCGCCAACGTCTTGATCATGGCCACGGCTGCGCCCAGGGCTGGGGGCCCCTTCCATGATTTTCTCCTTCTCGGCGGATCATCCGCGCGTAGTTGCGATTCTCCGACTCGATTGCTTCGACCAAGGGATCGTTGTCTTTCACTTTCACCGTCGTGATGATGCAACCCTTGAGCTCGCGGACCTGCTGGGTGTTCTGGTGCGTCGCGCGAAGGATGATGAGCATCAGGTCTTTCATCTCTTGGCTCATCTTCGGCGCGGGCTTCGCCTTGAAGCCAGCTCCACGACGGCGCCGATCTCGGGCGAGGGCCACCTTCTTGGGGTCGAACTTGGCCTCCTCGACCATCGCCGCGTCTTCCTGGCCCTTGCGGTTCTCGCGCACCTGGCTCCGTGAGCGCCCGGGCCTTCCTCGACTGCCGCCAGTGCCAGACGCTGCTGAGGACTCCAGGGGGGCACGCCACCCCGCTCTCACATGCGTCGGGATCTCGCCCGTGCCTGTCCATGTCGGTTGCTGTCGGTGGTGCTGGTGTGGGCGTAGGCGGCGGTATAGAAAGTGCGTGGGTACCCAGTGCTTCTTGGGGTAGATGGCTACGGAGATGCGCGCGCATCGCGCTGTACTCTTCGAAATACTGGTAACACATTGGACATGTTAAGGTCTTTGGCGGCGTTACTGAATATGGTGCCCATGCCTGATCCGCGCGGCATATGTGTGATCCCCATGCAGCTGTGATGCGATGTTGTGCGCCTACGCGTGTAGGGGATGTCGTACCGCATATGATGCACTCGTTCGTGATCGTAGCCTGGGATAGTAAGCAGCACATGCCGTGTTCCCCTCCTGGTGTGAGTCCCCTCTGATGTGCGTAAACTGCTCGTGCGCCCTTCCATGTCGTCATACATGATGCCTTC